CCTGCATCCGCATGGGGGACCAGGAGGAAGCACCTGGCTCCTGGCTTTGGATCAGCGCAACACGCTGGCTGTAGCGGCCACTTGGGGGATGAACCAATGGAAAAAGGAAGATCTTTCTCTCCGTCTCTCTCTCTCTCTCTCACTATCTAACTCTGTCAAAAAAAGAAAAAAAAAAGAAAAAGAAATAAGTTAGAGAATATGCATGTTTGTTTTACCCTAATGATTTTGAAGTTGAAATTTTTTGATAAGCTACATTTCAATAACTATTGTCAATGCTCTTTCATAAAACTAAAAGTCACTTTGCTTTTCCCACCATGAAAAACTCTTTTATAAATAGAATAATTGGACATCTAAATGTTCTTTTCATACATATTATCTGAATTGCTTATACCTAAAATGAAGAAATATATAATTCATCCGTTTATAATCTTCTAAAAGAACTCTAAACTATAAAAATTAAGAAATTAATAGTCATAAGATGTGGATGTATTTCAAGATCTATGTGTCAAAATATTCATCTTTAAGGAAGAATGATCTCTTATCACCCTAAGGTCACAGGGAGGAAACACTAGGAAGAAAGGAGGGTTTTATGGTTAAATCTACCCATTTTGTTTTTAACTGACCTAAAACCGTTCTTCCACAAAATAAATGGGAGAAACATCAAATAAGTATGAAAGTGGGGATAAAACTCACATGTTGTGGGAAGGCATGTTGCCTAATAGTTAAGACTTCAGTTAAGATGCCCATGTGCCACATTGGAATACCTAGTCTAGTCTTGACTACACTAATCTTGGCTCTGGTTCCTGCTTCCATCTTCCTCTAATGCTGCAGAACTTGGGAGAAGGCAGGTGGTGGCTCAAGTAGTTGAGTCCCTGCCACCCACGTAGGACGGCTGGATTTAGTTCCTGGCTCTCAGCTCTGACTCAGACCAGGCATATGTGGAATAAACCAGCAGATGGGTCTTGCTCTCTGTCACTCTGTCTTACCCTCCCCCTTCCCTCTGTGTGTGTTTGTGTGTGTCTGAGTGTGTCTCATTCTCTCACTTTCTCTCTCCCTGCTTCTCAAATTTTTTAAATGCTTTAGCTACATTGTTGTAAACAACTGTTATAGCACTTTAGGTATACTCTGGAAGAGAACACTGCATATTAGGAGGAGCCAAGTGAGGAGTTGGAACTATAAAAGGCCTGGTTCTAAATCCTGGAATCATTTATTGCATGGGTTTAAATCAGACACTTGATTCAGTTTCGGAACTTCAAGATTTTTCCTCTAATATGGTAGTGATAATGTGCTCCTCAGGCCATTTTTGTATCAGGATTAAATGAAAAAGTAAACAATGCATATAAAAAAGAGCATTCCTAGACTATTGCATTTTCTTATGTATAATACTTTGTGCCCTATAAAACAAACAGAAAACAATAAAAATAATCATCTTAGATAGTTATAAGTGATGAAGCAAAAAAAGGCATTGCTCTACTTCTCAAACCAAATAAAACAGAAACTACAAGAAACAACTCCAAAAGCAGTAATAAGAAATGCATAGGGCCAGCGCTGTGGCATTGCAGGTAAAAGCTGCCACCTGCAGTGCTGGCATCCCATATGGGCACCGGTTCGAGTCCCAGCTGCTCCACTTCTGATCCAGCTCTCTGCTATGGCCTGGGAAAGCAGTGGAGGATGGCCCAAATCCTTGGGCCCCTGCACCCGCATGGGAGACCCCGAAGACACTCCTGGCTCCTGGCTTTGGATCACTGCATCTCTAGCTGTTGCTGCCATCTGGAGAGTGAACTAGCAGATGGAAGACTGACTGGCCTCTTTGCCTCTGCTTCTCTGTAATTCTTTCAAATAAATAAATAAATCTTAAAAAAAAAATGCAGACTTGAGTCTCTGAGATTTTAAAGGGATTCTTGTTAACCCAATTAAGATAAAGGGAACTTAACTAGCCTAAGGGAAAATTGTGAGGACACAGAGATTTGTGCTGAATGCCTTTCAGAGAATGGAACCTGAGGGCACATTCAGAGAATTGATGGTAATTATAATTGATTCTGAGAGACACTTTAGTGTAAACACAGCAGAGAAAAGGACTATTAGCATATGTGTCATTATTATTATTATTATACATTCTTTTTTGTTGAAATAAGGTATTTTTTAACTAGTACATGTGTAAGTTCTTATATTAGTCATGAATTCATATGCCTAAATATTATTGGCACTGACAAGTTTTCTCATGAAATGACTGTCATATGCATTTAGTCCCCCAAGAGCTCTAGCTGCACTGTCCCAAGGAATATTCCAGACTATAATCTGGAAGTGACATTGCAAGAGTAAGTTTTCCTATTCTCTACTGGAGAATTATCACATATCACCATTGCTTTGTAACACGATATGATTATCACAAATAGGACTCTTCAAGTCCAACTGAGATTAATGTGGCCCAGTGTTCTGTTTTTTCCTTGCAACAACAGGGTTAATGTCTTGGGAAAATATTTTTAAGAGAAAACTGTGGAAATTGCTACTACATCAAAAATCAACTTAGTTACTATTAAAATTAAAAAATATTTAAAGAGTTGCCATATCGAAGCTTCTATTTTTCTTTGGCTATACACAGATGTGGATCTAAAGGAGGAAGTGCGTGACTTTCATCTTGTCTTGATAATTTTATGCTGATTACAAATTATATAGATGGAAGGAATGTGAAAAAAAAGTGCAACGAAGGCCAAGAAAAGAAGTGTATAACAGTTCAGTGCTGAGAAAACCAATTTCAAAACCAGAAAGACATGTGTTCAAATCAGAGTTTTCAACTTATTTATTCTGTGACCTTTGACAATGTATTTAACTTTCTAAGTTTGTTCCCTAATTCTAAAAGAACTATTAATTCTGTATCACTGATTATGAAAATTAGTAAAATATAAAGTTCTTGTCACAGTCTTGACCATAGCATTATACTTGATCAATTATGTTATTATCTTTCTTCATAATAATAGTAAGTACCCAAGTATTACTAATTGTTACGGTTATTATTGTTAAGAAAATAAATAGAGGCTGGTGCTGTGGCACAGTGGGTTAACACCCTGGCCTGCAGGTGCCAGCATCCTATTTGGGCACCGGTTTGAGACCTGGCTGCTCCACTTCCCATCCAACTCTCTGCTGTGACCTGGGAAGGCAGTAGAGGATGGCCCAAATCCTTGGGCCCCTGCACCCGCATGGGAAACCTGGAAGAAGCTCCTGGCTCCTCACTTTGGATTGGCACAGCTCTGGCCATTGTGGCCAATTGGAGAGTGAACCATTGGATGGAAAACCTCTCTCTCTCTCTCTCTCTCTCTCTCTCTGCCTCTCCTCTCTCTGTGTAACTCTGACTTTCAAATAAGTAAATAAATCTTTTTTAAAAAGAAAATAAATAAAAATAATTGATCTGTGATGGTCAGTATTCACTTTTGATAATTTCAACTCACAGTTTCCCTTAACTAAGTCCTTCTCTAAGAATAAAGGATGTGGGGTCAGCTCTGTGACTCAGTATGTTAAGGCCCTGACCCACAATGTTGTCATCCCATATGGGTGCCAGGTTTATTTTTTTTAAGATTTATTTATTTATTTGAAAATCAGGGTTACACACAGAGAGAGAATGAGAGACTGAGACAGAAAGAGAGAGAGATCTTCCATCTGCTGGTTCACTCCCCAGTTGGCCCCAACAGCCGGAGCTACACTGATGGCAAAGCCAGGACCCAGGAGCTTCCTCCAGGTCTCCCACACAGGTGCACTTGGGCCGTCCTCCACTGTTTTCCCAGGCCACAGCAGAGAGCTGGATAAGAAGTGGAGCATCCAAGTGTCCAACTGGTACCCACATGGGATGCTAGCACTGTAGGCAGTGACCCTACCCACTACAGCACAGCGCTGGCCCTGGGTGCCAGTTTTAGTCCCAGATGTTGCATTTTTGACCCAGCTCCTTGCTAATGTGGCTGAGAAAGCAGTGGGGGGTGGCCCAACTCTTTGAACCCCTGTACCCACATGGGAGACCCAGAAGAAGCTCCTGGCTCCTCACTGCAGCCTGGCTCAGTGTGGCTCTTGCGGCCACTTGGGAAGTGAATCAATGGATGGAAGATCTTTCTCTCTCTGTTTCTCTCTTTGTCTCTCCTTCTCTGTAACTCTGCCTTTCAAATAAATAAATAAATCTTTTTAAAAAAGAATAAGGGATGTGCTTACAGATTGCAAAATTTTGAGGAAATGTACTCTTTGTGCTAGAAAATAGAACTTTGGATTTAGGTGAAGAGAGCTAAGGAGTTGGTCAGCCCACCTTGGAAGAATAAGAAAAATGGATAAATGGATAAATAATGGATAAATCCTCAATAATGGATAAATTAGTGGTTTGCGAATGGTCTGTAAGTCACTTGCTCCTGCTTTTTTTTTTAAGATTTATTTATTTATGTGAAAGGCAAAGTGATAGAGAATTGAGCCATTCTGCTACCCTCCCAGGCCCATTAGCAGGAAGCTGGATCCTAAGAGGAGCAGTCAGACATGACATAGAGGACCCAGTTCAAGTCTTGATATTGGATTATGTGATGCCCGCTTCCCAGGCAGCAGCTTAACTGCCGCAATGGCAGCTGCATTGCTGCTGCATTTTATTTGGATCAGAGTATGGAAAGAGCATACCCTAATTTCTAGACTTCCATTAAGCTTGGTGGTAGTTCCCTCTACCAGAGCCTAGTACTTGTTGCATAGGCACAGTCTTTTTGGGCAGAAACCCCGGGGAAGGACGAGATTCTTGCCAGAAATCACACATTCCTAAACAATATACAATAGAGCTAGACACTCACTGGGTAAGAATGGAGGAGGGGAGCTAATAGAGGAAGGTAGCTGGGGGTGTTCCAAGTTGGAGGAAGAGGTAGGTAGCAGGAGCTCTGGGGCACTCTGCTGACCTCCAGACTCCCAGGAGCCCCCATGACTCCTCTAACCACTAGTGAGCGGCCATTTTTTATTGCGATTTTTCTGAAATGCCACCTCGGGGCCACCATCGAGGTGGCGGAAGTAGACGCTACTGTTGGCAAGGATACGAAAAACAGAGCCCTGCTGTGGCGAAGGTAAGCGGGAGGTCGCCATGGCGGATAGGCGGCACCGTGTAAGAATTTATGTCTTAAGTGACGACCATTTATGGGACAACATAGGAACCGGGCAAATCTCAATCAGTTACGTAGAGCGGCTGCAGGGCATGGCTCTGCTTGTTCGATCAGAGACTGATGGCTCGCTGCTCTTAGAGTCAAAGATAAATCCCCAAACCCTCTATAAGAAACAGCAAGGGGTTCTGATAATTTGGTACGAAGCTGAGAATCATGGTATGGCGCTGAGCTTCCAGGACATCGCAGGCTGTCGTGAGATCTGGGAGGGCATTTGCCAAGTCCAAGGTAAAGACCCCACTGTCAAAGATCCTTTAGACAAATCAGAACGGCCGGTTGAAAAGGCAGATACCAGTACTCTAATTAAACTGCCTGTCTGTGAACTCAATACGCTTGAACAGATTGCAAACTTAGTTACTTCGGTACTTGCCTCACCTATCCTTAGGGAAAGGCTAGCTCGGATCTTGGAACATGATAATTATATTAAAAAACTACTGCAGCTGTTCCACACTTGTGAGGACCAGCAAAACACTCAAGGGTTACACCATCTGCATGACATTATTAAAGGAATCTTATCCCTCAACAAGACAACCCTCTTGGAGATTTTATTTTCTGATGAGTGTATCATGGATGTGGTTGGATGCCTTGAATACGACCCTGCTTTGGCCCAACCAAAAAAGCATAGGGAATTCTTAACCCAAAATGCAAAGTTCAAGGAAGTTGTACCAATAACAGACTCTGAACTTAGAAAAAAAATACATCAGACATACAGAGTACAGTACATTTATGACATTCTTTTACCTGCGCCTTCCATGTTTGAAGAGAATTTTCTGTCTTCTCTTACAACTTTCATTTTCTTCAACAAAGTTGAGATAGTCAGCATGCTTCAGGAAGATGAGAAGTTTTTGTTTCAGGTTTTTGCACAGTTAAAGGATGAGACTACAGATAATGATAAACGGCTTGAACTGATGCTTTTTTTCAAGGATTTTTTTGCATTTTCTCAGACTTTAGAGCCTCACAGTAAGGATATGCTGTTCAAAACATTGACACAATTGGGAATTCTTCCTGCTCTTAAAATGGTGATGAACATGAGTGATTTGCAAATTAAAACAGCTGCTACAGATATATTTACTTATCTAATGGAGTATAGCCCGTCCATGATCCGAGCATTTATAATGCAAGAAGCAGAAAAGAGGGAGGATGAAGACCTTTTTATTAATATGATAATTGAACAAATTGTTGGTGATACTGATCCTGAGCTAGGAGGTGCTTTTCATTTGGTGGGACTTCTTCGTTGTCTCCTTGATCCAGACAACATGCTGATAACAATTAATACGTGTGAAAGAAGTGAATTTCTCAATTTTTTTTATAAACACTGTATGCATAACTTGATAGCACCACTTTTGGCCACCACTTCAGGAAGCAAATGTGGTGAAGGTAATATAGTTGGGTCTGACAAATACAAACATTCCTCTAATAATTATCAAACGGCACAGCTGCTTAATTTAATTTTGGAACTACTCATATTTTGTGTGCAACATCACACATATTATATAAAGCACTATATTTTGAGCAACGATTTGCTAAGAAGAGTCTTGATGTTGACTGAATCAAAGCACACCTTTCTGCTGTTGTGTGCTATCCGTTTTATGAGAAGGATGATTGGCCTTAAAGATGAACTGTATAATCGTTACATCATCCAGGGAAATCTTTTTGAGCCAGTGGTAAAGGCTCTTCTTGACAATGGAACTCGGTACAATATGTTGAATTCGGCTATTATTGAGTTGTTTGAGTACATAAGAGTGGAAAACATCAAGTCTCTTGTTGTACATGTAGTTGAGAATTATAATGTACTTCAATCTATTGAGTATGTGAAGACATTCAAGGGACTAAAGATTAAATATGAACAAGAGAAACACAGACAGAATCAAATACGGGAGAATTTACATTCCATGCTATATAGTAAAATACTTTGCCAAGGGGTCAGTGTCTTGGATATGAAGGAAGAAGTGGGTTTTAATGAAGATATGAAAGATGCAGTTTTACCACCACTGGAAAATGACTTTCCAGATGATGATACATTTATGGAGACTGAAGTGAGTGAAAATGAAGACAAGGTGAACCTTCCCAAAAGAACATCTTCTGGCGGCTTCAAATTTTCTTCCTGTCATTCTGCAAATCCTGATGTTGGACCAAGTAGCGAAGACAGAAGCAGTGTGGTTGATGTACTGGACAATCCTGACACTGAAGAAAATGAAAACAATGAAGAAAATGAAAACAATGAAGAAACAGCAACCCCCAGAAAAAGACCACATTGTAGTTCATAAAATGTTTATGGGAGACCCTCAACATGTGATTCAACTAAAATTCTATAAAATGCCAATAAGCTGAAAAATCTGACTACAACAGCTTTCTCATATGAACTTATACAATAAGAAGCAAATGTGAAGAACTAAGAGGGTTTAATTGTAGAAGTAAAACAAGACTTCCCATAAAACACTAAAAAATGTAGCGAGCACTTGAGTATTCTTTTTTTTTTTTTAATTTATGTTAAGGGCCATAAGAGGTTACAAAGAGGGAGAGGGAAAGGGAGAGGGGGAGAAGGAGGAGAGGGAGGGGAGTGGAGGGAGGAGAGAGGGAGGGGGAGGAGGAGAGGAAAGGAGAGGGAGGAGAGGCAGCCAGCGGCAAGAAGGATGCGGCGGGGGAGGAAGCTGAGGGTAATGTAGTAGAGTGAGCACCCGCGAGCAACCCGAGCGCAAGGTAATTAACCATAAGGCGCCTTACAAATTTCGCGGGAGGAGAGGCACTCGGGGGAGAATCGGGATTTCAAAAGCGAGGAGGG